CCGATCGGTTATGTGCGCAATCGGGACAACCCCAATGCAGTGTCCAATCTTGCAATGCTTGTGTTCAATAATGCGGTGTCCAATAATGCGGTGTCCGAAAATGCAGTGTCCAAACTTGCAATGCTTGTGTCCAATAATGCGGTGTACAAAAATGTGGTGTCCAAAAATGCAGTGTCCAATAATGCGGTGTCCAATAATGTGGTGTCCAATAATGCTTGTGTCCGATAATGCGGTGTCCAATAATGCTTGTGTCCAATAATGCGGTGTCCAATGATTTCGGTGTCCAATAATGTGTGTCCAATAGTGCGTGTCCAATCGAGCGGTGTCCAATCGTTACGTGTCCAAACGGGATACGCCCTCTGTTTCTCTCTTCTTCCTCCCCCTTTCTTCACTCCTCCATTTCCACTGTCACTTCTCTGCCTCCTCTTTCCATCTTCTCCTTTTTCTTCACGTTCACTCTTCTCCAACTTTTCCTTTCACTCCCTTTTTCACTCTGCCTTCTCACTGCCCGGCTTTCCTCCTCGCCATCTTTACCCCCTCCCGATCTATATATGTCTAGTGTATGCATTGTATACTTTTTATATTTTATCATGTATTTTATATAAAAATATTAAAAGAAATATTACATTAGGTGTTCTAAGTATCTTAGAATTTAGGTTCTCAACGCATTACCAGCGGAGATCAAATTGATTTCATTTACCACAACTGTTAGATCTGATTTCTCGCCACTTCTTATATACTGCTGTTGGTCGATATTTAAATACGAAAGTGTAACGTACGATCGCCGCTTCGCGGAAGCAAAGAGCGTTATTGCGAAATTATAAAAATATAATTTAAATATTGCTCATATATTTCACATACATTTTAATATATTTTTGATATATACAGGTATAACATTATATACAATTTTTTAAATGGAATTTTTATATACCAAATATATGGAATATATTATCATATATTTTCACCTACTTTTGAAATCTGTTTTTTTTTCGTTGGGGTATAGACACAGTGATGCAACTATTTAAAAACATTACTAGTAAATATAAGCTGTTAACTATTATTCTGTTAAAATATCCAGGTGATGAATAGTAAATGAATAGTAAATTAGTTAATTATTTTTATATAGTAAATACAATCACAATAATGTTAAATTTAACTACATTGCTATCATCCGCCTTACTGATCACATGGTAAACAAAAGTGAAGTGAGTCGGAATGTCCTCATTAGAGGGACGCGCGGTATAAGACTTTCTCGTAAGAAGAAAACCGCATAAGGTGTTATAAATACGAGTAGGTTATACATTCGTACAAGATTACTTATCTTTTCGTTAAAAGAAACTTTCTTGTACTATTCTTTATGAGCGCAAAGTGATGTAACCAATAAACATAGTGAACGCAATTTACATTTACGCATACATGTACACAGAGAGAAAAAAATAGTTGCAGTTACCACAATCTCACTATAATTTATAGTCATTTTTGGACCCAACCATATTTTTATAATTCTTCCAACTATGTAAGTTATGGTTGACCTAACAATGTATTATAGTTCTCATAGACACTATATTGGTCCATGCAACTTATAATATGGTTGTATGGTAAACCAAAACGAGCTTTTAATTTGGTAAGGTGTACTATAAATATTGCAATAACAACCACAAGTAAAATTTCAAATAACTATATGTAATAGTAATAATCGTATTTATATTGAAAGTAATACAATACATTGCGTTCACTACGTTCATTGGTTAAATCACTTTGCACTCATAAAGAATAGTACAAGATAGCATCTTTCAAAGAAAAGATAAGTAATCTTATACGAATGCGTAAACTTATCCGTATTTATAAACCCTAAGCGGTTTTTTACTTACGAGAGAGTCTTGTACCGCGCGTCCCTCTAGTGAAGACATTCCGAACCACTTCACTTTTGTTTACCATACGAATAGTAAAGTGGATGATAGAAATGTAGTTAAATTTACTATTATTGTACTTGCACCTACTATATAAAACTAATTAATTTAGTTACTATTCACCATCTTAATATTTTACCAGAATAATGGTTAAAAGCTTCATAAATAATAGTAAAATTTTTATGCTGGTTGCCATCACTATGACTATGTGGTTGTTATTACTAATATTATAGTGATAATTACTATAAAAATGATATTCCTGACTATAATTATTTTACTATGCAATTATAGTCGCAAATACTACGTACTTTTCTCTCTGTGAATAATGAAAAGCAGGGAATATTACTTCCAATATAAATACGATTTATTACTATTGCATACTGGTGTACAGTTTATTACTATTTCGTATGTTTTATCCATGAAGAATAGAGATAAGGAGACCGAACTGTATGTTCGGGACACGCGACCAAAACCGATCCCCGATGGTTGTATCTTTAGGTACCAATAGATGGCACTGCAATCTGAAGGTACCCGATGGCTATTGGCTTAGAGTTGAGGAGGAGGAGAGATTGCAGGGTGGAGCGTGGTGGGGAGAGTTAAAATCGTGCATGTATTTGTGCGCTGTTGCCGGTCTCGTCTGCTTCCACACACTACATAGCCGCCGGTGCGTGTACGTGTGGGTCCCGTCAAACGGAGGCGCCATCTAGCGGAGCATTAGTAAATTAGAGTCCAGCGACCAATTTGGTCGTGTTTCTCGAACATTTTTCCGTGTCAGTTCGGTCTCCTTATCTCTATTCTTCATGGTTTTATCGTACTATTCACTATGTTTCAGGTAACTTTATTTTATAGTACGGTTAAGGCTCCTGAGTTGTCACTGCGGCCATATTGAATTTTGATGTCAGAAGCGAGAAATGACACGCTAAGAATTCTTGCGTGGCATTTCCAAATAAAAAGATAATTGACTAAAAGTACTTTAGTTCGTTTTAGCACACTTCCAAAAGACTCCGTAAACAATTCTTTTCCATTGGCAGCTAATAAACAACTCTACAATAAACGTCAAAGTTAGTTTAATTATGCAGGAAAACACATGATTTGACACTGCCGAAAGGAGTGAAAAATGTCTTTCTACGATTAGAATTCCTCGCTAATCTTAGTTTTCGGAGTTTTTTAGGGGTTTCAGGAATAGGTCACACGTAACCAGAACTAGCGTAAAAGGAATAATTACGAAAATCCACGCAAGAATAAATTGTGTTGTCAATCTGTCACTTTTCACGCCTAATACTTCAGCCGGCGACAGCGTGAGGACACTGCACGAGTATTTGTCCCACGCTGTTAGAGGCGAGCAATGACACGCTGAGAATTCTTGCGTGCCATTTTAAAATAAAAAGATATTTGACTAAAATTGGCTCCACGAATAGCTTTGGTAGCGTTTGCGTTGGTAGCGTGACAGCGAGCTCACCAAACGCACCCATACAGATTATGATAAATTCACTGATCCTGCGGTAAGTCGTTAGGACAGGGTTCTTATTCCTACCGCTAGCGACTATGTCGCCACCGTCATCGCGGAGTTCTCGGCTCAGGGACCAGGAGCCATAACTACACAAAAATCTATATTTAGTTTACCATAACTATGTATTTCATATGATTGTGCTAATTTATGCTATAATGTTAAAATCATAGTTATAATGACTATAAATTTGTGTTTGCTCTGCTATATTTTGCATATTTAATAAAACTAAAAAATATTAATAAATGAGTATGGCTCGTATGTGTTAAACACAAATTTCAAGAAATAAAGGATTCAGAGCCGTGACAGGGTGGCAGTGTCTAAATATTTTATTCTAAGTTTATTGCGAAAAAATATCACCTCGGCCAGGGTATGAACCTGGACATCCCTCTGGCCGAGGTGATAGTTTTTCGCAATAAACCTAGAATAAAATATTGAGACACTACCACCCTGTCACGGCTCTGAATCCTTTATTTCTTGAAATTTGTTTGGAGCGCCAAAATTCACTATAAAATATAGTGAGATTATAGTTATTCTAACAATTTTTTTCTATCAGTGTATAATCTATGTTACTTCGAGCATCACGTAATAATTATTTTTGTTATTAATAGCCGAATTAAGCTAGAATTTCAATATCATTGAATCGAGATACTCTGTTTTACATAAAATTAAGTTCACTCTTCTTGCGACGTTCTGCGCATTTAATAAGACAGTTACGACATAAATGAAACTACAAAGCTGCACTGATTTTTGTAAAAAGAATGCTCAGGCAAAATAAAATATGTTTACATTTCATTATTTTGCAAAAATCGTTCTTTAAAAAAATATAAAAATGAGAAAGTTGCACCAAGTAAGAAACAGAAACATGATACACGTTGTAGGAAATTACAAAAAAGTTAATTAATTTAGCTGCAATTGTGTTTAATGCAAAAAGTTAAAATGTACTTAAAGTGTTAGGCGAAGAGCAAAACGCATTGGTCGTCGTCCGTATAGTAAAGTCCAATGGAATTATCACGGCATTTACTTGAATAGATATTTACACATGTGGTGGGCGGCCGTGCCACTTCACTTGAGAGTGTTCGAGGTCCAAATATAGCAAACACATACATATAGGTAAGCACCAAGCACATCCCAAGTGCATCCCCAAGAGCAACAGTACGAGATTAATGCCTACAATAATCGGCTGACGCATGAAATTGAACAATCCAAATGGGTCAGAAGTGGGTATAAAGAAATATGTCGCTTCAATTAGCAGCTGCAAAATAGCACAAATTGCAATTCCTCGGACATTCTAAAATTATAACGGAACTCTGCAAGTTGAGTTTGACTTGTCAATGCATTTAATACATCGACATATAGAATAGACTGCTAATTGCAGTGCACTGACAGAAAAAAATTATTGCAGTTATCACCATCTCGTTATAATTTATAGTTATTTTAGGAGCCTACCATATTTTTATAATTCTTCCAACTACGCAAGTATGGTTGTCCAAACAAAGTATTATAGTTCTCATAGACACAATATTGGTCCACGCAACTAAAAATATGGTTATCATAAACCAAAACGAGCTTTTAATCTGGTAAGGTGTACTATAAATATTGCAATAACAACCACAAGTAAAATTTCGAATAACTACAGGGTGCGCCATTTCGAGCTTCGGTATGGAAATATTGAATAACTTTAACATTTCTCAACTGATCGGCTTGGGTAGACATGTTTTGTAAGCGTCAATTCAGTACAATTTTAACCATGAACAACCTAACACCGAAAGAACGCGCCGAAATAGTGACGCTGTACATTGAAAACAATCGTTCAGTTGTGTTAACTCAACGAGCATACCGTCGAAAATATCGTGATCGAAAAGCGCCTTCCAACAACACTATTCTTAGTTTAGCCACAAATTGTTTTGAGCACGGGTCAGTGGCTAATCGTGGACACATTCGTCAACGCCCAAGACGTTCCAATGAGGTTATTGAATCTGTAAGGGAGAGTGTTGCCGAAAATCCAAATGTCTCGTATCGCCACCGATTTCAGCAGTTAAACGCCAGTGGAACTACTTTGAGACGAATTTTGAAGGACAATCTTCACTTGTTTCTGTACAAAGTGCAATTGACTCAAAGAATATTGCCCACAGACAAGCAGCGTCGGTTGGATTACCGTAATAACGTCATTCGAATGGTTGAAAGTGTGCCGGATTTTTGGAAGCAAATTTGGATGACCGACGAGGCGCATTTCACACTCTCTGGTGGTGTTAACAAACAAAATTGTCGTATCTGGGGGCCAGAAAATCCTCACCAAATTCATGAAACACCATTGCACGATCAGAAAATGACCGTTCGGGCGGCGTCTGCTCGCAAACCATCATTGGGCCATTTTTCTTCAAAGTTGGGGAGACAGTCGATGGTAATTAATCGACATCGGTGGATGTTGGCACACTTTGTGTGTCCGCAAATGTGTGAAAACGTCTACAATGAGATTTCAAAGCGTAAGATTAAAGAAATTGATCAATCAGTCGAATGTGAGGAGAATAATCGACTGTGATTTATTAATTTCTTGACCTCAAACGTTTTAAAATCTTATTGTAGACGCGTGCGGCGAGATCGGTCGGTCGTTACAACTCTCTGCGCGCCTAGTAACGATCGATCGATCTCGCTGCACGTTTGAATTGGGCAATGGGCCGGCCTAAGACAGCGATTTTTAATAATTAATAACTCGTTAACTATTGCAAAACCTGCAAAGTGGTACAGGACTTTTCGACTTAGTCCACTCTATCCCACAATAAGCGTTGATGCGGGTATTACATAACACACTGTATATATATACAGGGTGTCTGATGCAAAAGTAGCCACCTTGAAAATAGTGGTAGATTGGGTTAAACTAAGGAGAAATATCATGTACCGCGGTACAAAATAACAATAGTTATCGAGTAATAAATTTACACGTTTGAGCGAATGAGGATGCAGGAGACGGTAGGCCGGACTCAGAAGGCATTTAAGAAAATCGATCGATGAGCGGGAGGTGGAGC